AGTAGCGTAGCCAATCAAAATGCAGGATTTGCATTAGTCCACTAGTTGGGTGATACTAATTATAGTTACCCAACACCGCGAAAGTTGTAATCGTGTTTGGTATAGTTTTGCGTCATATCTGAGTGTCCAATTGTTCACATAATTTTTGTTATATATTTTACTTACAAATCTCTCAAGTTTATTTTGATTATTTACCTGAACAGTTCATCAGAGGAATCATGCCCCGAGCAAATTCGATCTTCCTTGTTTCAATGTGTTTCCTAATCATGAGCACGATGCTGTTTGGTGAAGCTAAAAAGAAAGCAAAAGTTCTTATACTTGGAGCAGGCCTATCGGGAATAACCGCTGCTAAAACACTCCTGGAAAACAACATCACAGATTTTTACGTTCTTGAGGGTCAGGACTACATTGGTGGAAGAATACACGCCTTTGAATTTGAAGGAGTCACTATTGAAACAGGAGCAAACTGGCTGCATTTCCTGGATGACGAGGACACGACTCCTCTGTTGAAACGAATGGAAGAAGCAGAAATGGGTGGAGTTCCAAGCAACTATTCTGACTTCATCATAAGGTTTGTTGTTTGGTTGTAAAAGAAAAACAGAGCAATGCTCCTTTTCAGCTAGGAATGACTGCGACAGATTATGAATCCCGAACTTCAAAAATTTAGGTCACAATTACATTGTCAGCCTAAATCCTCATACAAGCGCACACACGATTATTTGTTAATTTTGCAAACTGTCGAAATCAGTATAGGTAATCTTGCGAGTAAATTTAATGATTTACACTACAAGTGATATTTGAAAATTCTCTCAAAAGTGCACGAATTTTCAAATATCCTGCAGAGTCCTGAAAATCCTTAACTGCTCAAGCTTTCATACCATTACTCATGTACTATATGACTTCTTATATGATAGTTTGGACCGCAACCGTGTTTACATAGCTCTGTGGAAAACGACTTACCAGCCAATCAGAGCGCTTGACAATGCAAAGAACCAGTCAGGGCTTCAATACGCCATTTCCGAGTTACCTTGTGCCTCTGTTTCAAAACTTGGCCTCGTGCAAAACCTTTCATAGGAAAATAAGTTTGTTTTGCTACAAAATGAACCTGTGCGCGGGACACAGTTCCATATGAATAGTTTCGCACGGAAGACTCGTTTTGACACAGAGGTAGAAAGCAACTCGGAAATGGCCCATTAAAACTATGCAAAGTGCAACAAGCAAGCGCGAAGCTGGGGCGCGAGGAACGAGCGGTTCACTTTTGAAATTGTTCTCTCTGCTTGGTATGTCGCACGAGCATGAATTTTCTGAATCATTTTAAGTTGAGCTAACCGGAAAATTAAAGCGTTGTAAATACTTGATCTTTCTATAGGAACGAGCATGGTCAGGACATCACAGATTCAGAAGTCATTCGCAAGTTACACGAAGAAATTGAAGAAAAAATTGAAGAATTTCAGTTGTCGAGGATGGAGAGAAATATGCCAGACATTCCTGCTCAAGTTGGTTTGCAGTTAATGGGATGGAAAAGTAATCGACCGATTGAAAAAGTGCTTGAGTATTTTAGACTTGATTTTGAGCACGGCAAACAACCTGATCTGGTCTCTTTTTATCAGCTGTATGGCCGAGGCCAAGACTTTTTTGTGTCAGATCCTCGAGGACTTTGGTCTCTTTACAAAGATCTTTACCAGCCCTTGATGAAACATATTTTGCTCGGAAGGAATATCGTCAAAATAAAATACTCCGAGAACTTTGTGGAGGTCCACACCAAAAATAACGAAATATTTGTAGCTGATTATGCTCTGTGTACGTTTAGCACTGGAGTCTTGACCAGTGACACAATAACTTTCGACCCACCCCTCCCTGAGTGGAAAAGAGAAGCCATTTATAAAAGCCCGATGTCTATTTACACGAAAATTTTCTTGAAGTTTCCAAGGAAATTCTGGAACGACAACGAATTTATTTTGCACGCCTCCAAGCGGCGCGGGTATTTTCCAGTGTTCCAGGACCTGGACAGACCAGGAATTTTACCAGGTAGTGCAATATTATTGATTACTGTCACTGGAGAGGAAGGCAAAAGGATCGAAGAACAAACAGACCAGGAAACAAAAACAGAGATCATGAAAACTTTGAGAAAAATTTACGGCAAGAAAATCCCTGAACCTACAGGTAAGAATGTATCCTCTTGGTGAGAAACGCCAAGATTCTGGAACTATTTTTCTCCTATTGTGCATGTCCGACTGTTTCATAGTTCTGTCATTGATATGTTGAAGTCTCTATACGAGCAAAGAAGCTCATCGGGCTGTAGCTTATTCCGTAGCATGAAGCGACTAGGAATATTTCTACTCCCCCCTGGATGGCATGGTAGTCCATCGCAGGGCACCCCAGCATTAAATTCGCCGGTACCTATTTATACACCCGGGTAGAGAGAAGTACTATGAGAGTAGTGCTTTCCCAAGAGCAAAACACAATGTCCTCAGACACTCGATCCAGAGTCGAGCACACTAACCATAAGGTTACCGCGTCTCCCTCTCCCAGTGATATATCTGTAGAAATTTATAGGTGAACAGCGGCCAATAACAATGAACTTCTTGTAGCATAGCTAGGCATGCAGTTCATTCTGTAACATTTTGTTTCTTGGTCCCATAGCTAGACTTTTATGTCTTTGTTGCCGACGTATCCACAACGAACGTGACTTGAGACGACTTACTGTTCTTGTATACTTATGCAAATGTTGCAATCTGATTGGCTGAGCTTTAACATTTGTGTGCAAATTGGTTTCCAGCCAAAAAGATTGCAAGTTTGCAAAAATCAACCCATCAGTGTTGCTAACTCTTTCACTCCGACGTTTCTCTTTAAAGCGATATTCTATCGTCGCTGGTCCAAAGATATGTTCACACAAGGCGCTTACAGTGACCGAGTAGTAGGTACAACTTCGCAAGATTACAAAAACATTGGAGAGACACTGGGCCGACTTTATTTTGCGGGGGAAGCGACTAGTGAGGACTGGAACGGGTATATGCAAGGGGCTTACCTGAGCGGTAAAGAGAAAGGTCAGATGATCGCTGATGATTTAATGGGTACAAGAATTGGAGAAGTCAATCAAGGACATGTGCTTAGTGACACTTTAGTTCATGAGGAGCTATAAGCAATAAAGCTTGCGATTTTTCCTACAATTCTTTGATAATCGCTTAAATGAACTTTTCAGGGTTAAAAAAAAAATTAACTTTTCTGGTCAAGACTCAAAACCGATCGCTATTTATGTATTTTTGTGAATGAAAGAAGTTTGAATGTCACAGTGGATTGAGTCTCTCGGGGAGTCACGAAAATTGCCTACGTTCTTCCCCTTGATTCCCTTCCCTCCACCCCCTCTCCATGCCATCTAATCTACTCTCAACCCCAAACTGACACAAAAACAGAGCAATTTGAGTTTTAGAGTGCTAGTGTATGACGCAAAACATTTTGACAACGGAGCTTTTGGAAATTGGCTATGACATCACGATAATCATGTGATTTCCCTTCCCGAATTTTCCTCAAACACAAATCTAATATGACCGCTTATTGTTGCCGGTTTTCAAATTTCTCCAGCGTAGTGTTGACGGAAAACATTTAAAGCGTTTTCAGTGTGAAATTGCGTTTTTTTTTTTTTCGCGTAGTTTGGACAGGGCCTTAAAATCCAGTCTAGTCTGTGAACAGTCTACCTTTCGCAAGCTAACGCGCTCGGCTTTACGGATTGTTTCGCCCTGATATTAAAGCACGAGGAAACCAGATCACAGACTAAGTCCTTTCTAAACACTAGGCCTCTAGCGAGCAATAAAATAACTTTTAAAGTTTAACCTGCGCAGCAGGCGTAAATTTTCAAAAGCACGCGAAGGGAACGAAACTGCGAGCGAGTGCGAAAAAATAATTGGAGCAAGTAATCGTTTAGTACTGAATAAACACATTGATGTATTTCGTTCTGGAAGTTAACTCCACTGTGAACGGGACTGAATAAATAAATGATACTTGCTTTTTGGTCAACATCTCTTCTGGTAATGCTTGATGTTTTTCCCGTAGTATTGTTCATTGACATCATTCCAAGGGTTTAGGAAAGGATGAAGTGTTCTTAAGTAGGTACGTGAAAGGGATGCTTTTTTCAATAAAAGGTCTACGAAATGGGTAGCTTTTCTGTCAAAATGGTAAACAAAAGTGTAGGGGGCTGGACCTCGAGGCTGAGCTTCCCCGTACAAAATTTTATGGATAATTCCCCTTTTCCGTGGGGGGGGGTTAATTTGCGTCCTTTACACTGAGATTTTCATTCAGTTTCCGTTAGTTGAGCAGAAGTACATGCTAATTAATTACCTCAAACGTAATCTGATTATTCATATCACGGGTGAAAGAAGAACGTGACATATTTTGCAATTTTAAAATTTCTGTGGTATTTAGGGTGGTTTTTGATGATTTCGATTATTTTTGCCGGCAGTTGACTGTGAAATTGATGTACTGAATCACTTTAAATTAAAATAACCCTCTTTATTCCTCCATAAGGTGTGCGCGATATTAGGCACAGTCGTCAGATATTTTTCTAGTGCTTTCGGGGAACGGCACCAAACTGCACTTATAAGCAAATGGTGAAAGTAAATGGACTCCTTTGAAAGTTTGTTAAATGCGCGAGATGGAGAAAATGTCTGGCTCACCGTAGACTTGCCACAAGTCGACCTTTTCTTAATCTTTGATTTATTTATCTCCCTCGAGCGAAGCGAGAGGGTGATCTTCGAGCGACGAAGTCGCGAGGGCGAGCGCGAGCGACCTAAGTCGAAACCAACAGGCCAGGGAAGAATTATTGGAAAGGACTGTTAGAAAGTCTACCAAATGCGATGCGATGGAGCACGAATTTACTTGGGGTTGGATAGAGGTTGCCCAACTCCTATGGGTACTAACTGCACCCCAGTATTTAGTAAAGAACAGCAAAAAATACTGACATTCGTTTGACAACCGTCTGCGTACTGTACTTTTAAAATATCTACAACACATATTTGAGGTACCGGCGCTCTGTGTCGGAAAGGAAGTAAAGTTCTCGTGACGTCACGAAAAATGAACGAGTGCGGCTTCGCACTATTTCGTTCCATTGTCGGCGTGGAATCGGCATTTCCGAAAGTGAAGGTGAGTTAGTTTCTGTCTTTACAGATATTCGTGGACGAACAATCTTGCATTTCCTGTTGGAGCACTTCAAGATACAGGATAGTGTGTATCCATGAATGATTTGTTTACCAAAGATAAACTCCGCATTGAATTTTACCAAGCTCTTTTGACATCTTGTCTCCGTTGATCAGTCAACCGTGGTTTGACAGGGTCAAATCATGTCATTCGATACGATTACAGTCACGACTTCTTCAACGGAGTATATTGGTGTTTGAGCCCTCATATGTGAACAACAAAGAACTCTTTGCTCGGTCAGATACCTCACAAGTGTCGTGGAAGCTATTTAAAAGTTAGAGCCAGCGTTTGAGTGGCGATATTGCCACTGTTTGGCGGGAATATTGGAGGCAACGTTGTGAAAGGAAAACTTACATTCGAAAGTTGGAAGCATCGAAAGTACCATATACATGGAAGAAGCTGAAGAGGAAAGATCAAATTCAGATGAATCAAGGTAAGTTAAGCTAGGAAATTATCTCTTGGGGTAAAATTAGGGTAACTTTTATTTCTAGTTATTAACAAGTGGTTAATTAAGAACAGTTAAAAGCTTGTAAGTTATTAAGCTTACAAATTACAGAAACACCTTTTCAGCTGGATTTTTCGACATTTTGAACACAAGTGCATTGCAAATATGCCTGTCATAGCACTGTGTTTATGTGTGCTTTTGGCAGTATTCAATGTAAACCTTTTAGCTTTTGAGTTTTGTATAATATAGTGGTTATTTCAATGTTGACAAATTAGTGAAACAGTGCGTGATTATGCTCAATAAACTTTGCCAGCTGGTACATGAAGGTATAAGCTTAATTGAAAAGAAAACAAAATTCTTGGAAGCAATATTGTTTTTAATTTAACTTGTTTGAAGCCCCAGTTGAGAACCCTGCTGAGCCCACCGCAATAATAATATTGATCTGACTTAAGAAAGTGGCATTTTGTGTGTTTAAAGTTTACTGTTAGTGCTTGATTTTTTTTCTTTTCATTTAGAAATGTTTCTCTTTTTTTACGTTTGCTATCTTTAGCTATCTTTTACCATCTTTTGCTATCTTTGCTATCTTTTGCTATCTCCCCAACAATAACCTCCTCCCCCCTTCCATGGACAAGAGTTTCTGTCAGCAGTTTGATTTGTTTTTCTTAAGCCTGGTTCACACTAGCGACATAAAGACATGACAACATCGTCACGAATGACACAAGAAGGACGTTATCTTGACATAAAAAGGACGTCATGTTTGTAGTGTGAGCATGTAGACATAATGACATATTAGCAACATATGTAACAGCATGAACATAACGACATAAAGATAAAACTGATCTTTTCCTTATGTCGTGATGTCGATATTGTTATGTCGTTATGTCGCTAGTGTGAACCGGGCTTTAGGGGGTAAATTTTGACCTACCTTGTCATGAATCAACTAGTGAATTAATGAAATGTTGAATTTTCAACTTGCTAGGAGTCTTGAACAATTTATTGCTGTGTGGGATTTTGAACCATCAAAAAAGGATGAACTTGGACTGTCAAAGGTAAATTAAAGGGTCAATAGACAACTAACCAGGGTATAGCCAAGACAATAGCATTGCACACAGTTGCTAAAAATAGATTACGTCACTAGAGACCCAGACAAGATGTACAGTCCGTTTGAAGGTTTTGTATGAGTGTGTTGTCTTAGAGACCAGAAAATCAAAAAACTGAGCACGGCCATAGGTAATGTAAAACAGATTCAAGCTGTCCAGAAAAGAGTATAAATGTCACAAATTGCAGGAGCATCTTACAAAGCCGCAGTGAGAGTCTCACAGATCCCAAAACAAAGTTGGGAAATTTAAGCGCAGCGGTTGCGACTAGCCGATTAGAATGCTTTACAGAGAAATGTGTTACAAAAAGAAACTTATCTGTTATTTATGCAGGCCTTGAAGAGAAGACTTATTGCCAGAAATTCCCAAATTTGACAACCCGAGCTGTGCACCTGTGTCCTCCGTCCCAAACAAATACGAAAGAACAGGAGGACATGATAGCTTTATTATTATCAGGAAGTCCCTGAGACAATTCCAAATGCATGGCAGATTTAGGTGTACTATGCAGTTTGGAGGACCTAGATTTTAATAGAGCCATTTATCCGACCACATAAACAAATCTGTGACTGTGAGGAGACCTCAACTGCAGATATTTTATTTTCATAGATCTATATATTTGGTGCGGTATGTGTAATATAGATAGTGTGGGTTAAAATTGCTTTTTACTTGCAAAGACAGAGCAGGCCTGGCCCAGTTTCATTACGACAATTTGACAAATGGGATCAGATTTACGGCATTTCTTTATGGTATTTCTTTCCTGGCCTGTTGCTAGGAAAGGATGTAAGGAGTGGCACGTGCTAAGGACGTAAGGAGTGTATTCATGAACACCCTATATACACTGTAAATGAGAGGCCGGTGATATTTCGCCTCCGTTTTATTGTTGTTGTTGTTGTTGTTGTTTTTGCTGTTGTTATTATTATTATTATTATTATTATTATTATTATTATTATATATTATTGCAAGGTGCATGTTGTGGGTTTTCTCTAACATTTTGAGCCAGAAAGTCCCATTGAATTGCGAAATTGATCGCTGAGTATCATGCTGAAGTGTTTGTGAGGGCCATTGTTCCATACGTTGCTCTCAAAGAAGTACAGTAGGGTACAGAATGGTTTTGATGTCTGAGTCATACCGGGAGTTAAATTTGTGTGATATCACTTGTGCGCGATGCTATTAGCAAGGATAGCCAAAGGGTAACCTGAAAACACTGACCTCTGGTGTGCGGACCCCCACTATGGACTGGGTCCACAGACCAGACCAGTCAGTGGACTATCCCTATGGACCCCATCTATGGACCATCCCCCAAAAAGGTCATGATCCATATAAATAAAGTGCATGATATATACTATGCAAATGTTACATACTTGGGGTTTTAAAACCCCCAAAACAATGTCTGAAAGCTGTTTTCAGCAAAAAGAAATGCTGATGGCAAAGAAAAGGAATTTAGTTCTTTCCTTCCATGTGTGGCTGAATCTGCTTACAAAAGATGTGTTGTTAGGTTCTTCTTGCTTGTTTATCTTTGGGATTCCTTTGAACAAATCGTGAAGTTTGGGATGAGTTCACAAACCCATGGAAGAATGGGCTGAACAAAATGGTGGAGGCTTCCCAGTTTTTCATACATAGCCACAGCAAAGGAAATGGCAATGTGTAATGGTATAACTTGCACTCGAGCCTGAACCCAAGTCTGTTACATTAATTTGCACAATGTAAATATCGAAATTTTGCAGACAAGTGTGATCTGTTAGACAACCAGAAGTGAAATCTCTATTTATTATAACTTTTTTCTATTTTGAGGGTGATCCATAGAGGGGGTAAGGCTAGTCTGTGGACTGGTCCGTAAAGTTGTCTTTGGACCTGGTCTGTAGTGGGTGGGGTCCACAGACCAGGTCTCGGTGTTTTCAGGTTACCTGCAGCCAAAACATAATCTCCAGAAAAACAGCCTCAAGCCATGTCAAGTAACATAGCACTGTCATGCCAATTTCATATGCAGTCAGCATGTGAAGGTTTGATGAGTGTCCACTATATAATTATATATTGCTTGTTTACAAGCTTTGCTCTTTTCCATATATCCAATGTTAAACCACTAGTCTACAGCCTTTGCATCTCTCAATCTCGCCATTGTCTGTCCCCATAATCAATTATACTCTGTGCTTGCCCAATTTGGTTTCCTCTGACAAGTAGGTCAGGGGGTTTATAAAGCAAAATGTATGTGTCATAGTGAATGTGTGTAAGAATGATAACAGGTAAATGTAACCAATAAATAAATGAATATGTATTAACATTGAATGTTTTTATGCTAGGGAGATATTGTGTGTGTGGTGAAGAAGTATCAAGATGGCTGGTACAGAGGAATACGTTACAGAGATTATCAGGTATAATGAATATTAACTGACAGCACCTCTTTAATTTACCTTATAACAAGTCATAAACTATTTTCCAGGTTCTCATTAAGTGTCGTGCGCCAGTTAAAAAGATCGTTACTTTGATTTCTGAGCCATCTACATGTACTATTCGTGAAATGATACAAATTAATATGTGTGTTAGTTATAACGAGTAATTTAGGGAAAGCAGAGGTATTTTGGACAATGACTGAACCTTGACTGTTTTTGTCTCAGGACAGTCTAGGTTGTAGCTAGAGAGGGGTTAAGGGGTCAGGGTGTGGTGTACATTTCAATTATGCTAGCACTGTAGGATAAAGCTAGAAAAAAGTCTTTGTAATCCCTTAATATTCTTGGTGTTTTGACCTTTTGCAAAATTGATTTTTTTTTTTTAGGAAATGTCTCCAAGAGATCAAATGCATAAAATAGCAATTCAGAGACTCTCAATTTCCAAATATTTTGGGTGCTCGAGCATGCACCCAGACAGGGTCTCCCTAGAGGCTTGTTCCTTTGGCACTTGAATTGATGTCAGGTGTCTCCTTCAAGATACTAGCCTCTACTCCCTAACTTAATGAGAACACTGTATTTTAATTCAACTGACCCTTTTTAGCTGATCAGATCAGGGGCCCTTGAAAAAAGTGCTGTCCGGTCATCTGGGATAAGTAGATTTTCGTACCAGGCAAGTAACTTTTCATACAAGTCACTTGCCCAATGGGCTAAGGGCCTGGGCAAGTTGTCTACCAACTAGAATTTAAAAAAGTAAACAAGACTTGCCCAGGGCCAGCAAAAGTTGAGAGATGTTTGTCCAAAGGGCAAGATAGAATTCAATTTTTTTTTTAGCCCTCTCAGATGCTAAGGACTCATAATACATGTAAGTTATTAGCAAATATGGCGACATTTATCGTGGTTGGATTCCAGACCAAATCAACCTTCTGTGTCCAAACCTTGTGTGCCAGTAAACAAATCAATTGAACTCAATCTATATGTGATAAAAATGACTTTTTGGGTTATTTTCAGGCTGGCTGCTTTCCTGGGAATTTTGTCAAGAAGACATCAGATGAAGCTGGAAATACCGGTTGGTGAGTATTAAAGGCGAGATGTCACAATTTAAACATGATTACTTCAGGCCATTCAGCTTGGTAGTTTCATGCTGAAAAAAGTTCAAAGGAATTTGTTGCCTGACTGAAGAGACTGTATTAATTCTTGGTAATCTTACTTCCATACTTCCATACTTCCATCTTGTGGTTGGTTAAGTAATAAATAAATGTACTTTGATACCCATATCCCAAGATCTCAGGACTTGAGCATGGGCAGGACTATATTTGGACATTATAATAATTGCTGGGTTTGTAACAGTGATAGCCTCAGTTGGTAACAATATACATTAACTAGTGATTAGCTCAGTTTAAGTCTTTCCTAAGCAGTTTGCTTTTCTGTTTCTTCAGGGAAGAGGTATCAGAGAATCTTGTCTCATCTCCACCAAAAACTGAGATCAGCTCAAAAATTTTGGAGGATTTACAAAATGATCGAAATAATATGACTTCTGAGGGTTGTTGTGATACAGACGAACATTGCATGGATATGGAACACAGACAGCCTGATGTCAATCAAAATGGCGTGCATAGAAGTGATTCACTTAAGAGTGAAATTGTTAGTCCTGGGGCATTCACGTCATTTCATGGGCTCAATATACTCTCTGAGCAAATGGCACAGGATGGAGAAGGTAACATTACACATTTCAAGTTATTTAAATAATACAGTACAGGGCTCGAAATTGTGACTCACTGGTCACCAATGCGACCAAAAATTCAGCACTGGCAACTAAATTTTCAGAACTGGTCGCCAGCTGGCGACTCACATTTTTCCGATAACTAAAGAAAACCACGACACCACTTTTGTTTTTAAATCTTTATATTGGGAAGTCAAGCAGATATGGTAGCTGGTATACAACTCACCTTTCCGTCCCCAGTAAAATAATGTCTGAATATTACAAGATAATCGAAAAACTTGAACGTATTTCAACACATCGACACTGCGTTCACGGCGCGCCATATTGTTTCAGCGGCTTCTTCC